AATAAAATAGCCTCCAAAATGGCTATAGTTGCAAGTATGAAGGTCGCAACCCGTCTTAGAAATTTCACCTTTACTATCAACAGCTGTTGTTTGACAGGTCGTTAGAATAATTGCAATTTATAAAATGTTAAGGATATTAGGAATGTTGATGTTAGAAATAATTTGAATTCCTAAAATTGTCACATAAGAAATGCATAGGCGAATTTTAAGAAAATTGATATTAAAGTAGTTAGAATGAACCGAAAATTCTGAAAATCAGTAAGGTTCTAAGTTAGAAGTAATTATTCAAGAAAATCAAAACCGCAAGTCAATCAGAACTTTCGTTCTAGAGTTATCGTACCGGCATACATACACACAGATGACCAGACAAAATTTTTAAAAAATGGGAGTAAGAAATTTTTTTCGTCTGCACGAATTCAATATTGAGGCCCCCATAGGAAGAACCTCAGTAATATAATCTTACGATATTGAATAACTTATAATAACTAATACATCCAATCTATAAGTATAAAAATTAAATAGATTGTGGAAATAATAGAAAAATTATTTGAATACCTTTAAAATATTAGTAAATTTATTTTATATCGGTAATTTTCTTCAAAATCCTGAGAACATTTTTCAATAATTTTGCTAGACATATCTAAGTAGTTGACTTCAATTTTGCTTGACATTTTAGTGATAAATTGCAATTATTATGTAAAAGTATAGTATAGTTTAAAAAAATTTCATTTACATTTTAAAATATATCTACTAGTCAAAGAAAGAATAATATAATTCGACACTACCAGGATGCTTCTTTCTTTCGTGCGGGTCCTGGGACAATGGAGGATACATCCCTTTATAAAACCATTTTTTTTTATTTAAAAATATAGTGACGTTTAGTCTTTTTATGCGTTTACCAATAAATAAAAAAATGTTACATTTTATTTAATATATCAAGTAAATTCGATTTTTCTTGCTAATTGACATTTTTTTGTAACTTTTTAGTCGAGAAAAATATTTCAATAATTTAAAAGATTTAAATAAATATTTCATAATTGGTTTTACCTTCACTGATAATAATAATAATGATTATATATTGCGACGTATATCAAAATACTATAAGCTAATTGTTAAATAGAACTGGTTAATTCAAGTAAATTTAAATTTGGGTGTTATAAGGTTCTTTTGTTATAAATTCTATACCTTATTTTTTTTGGCATTGAATTTTAATCTTTCATTTACCTAAAATAATTTTTCTAAATTAAAATACTGAAAACCAAAATTATTGTGTTAGTATTTTTAAAAATATTCCTTACTATATTCTTACTTTATTTACATATCATATGTATTTTGCTGCATCTAATAAAACGTAAGAACGGTTATATATAACAAGATTATTTGAAATTACTATCTTATTAGATTAGATGCCTATTTCATTACTGTTATTTGCCTAATAGGTATTACATATTATTACCATTTTACCAATAGAAATAGTTTATTCCTCTCATAACACAGTTGGGGTCATCAAAATACATAATTAAAATAATTGCTGGTTCAGAAACAAATCGTTTAATTATATTAAAGTACCTATTTGCAAATTATACACTAATAGGTGGTATGAAATACATACTAATGCTATTACTTAAATAAAGTAAAATTAATGATTCTGTTTTTTTTTTAATTGGTCAAACACTTTTCAGTAATTAAAAAACAACGCTAAATGAAGCATTTAAATATTTAGGTAATTGTTTGTTCGGACGACAAATCGTTTAATGATTTTAAAGTATTTTAAATTGTACCAATAATCATTATGAAATAAAATACATACAATGTTACTATTTAAATGACAGTATTGGGTACATGAATCTGTTTTTTTTAATCGACAAAGTAATTATGTATCACTGATTACATAAAAAATTGTTTGCAAAGTGTAGTTTGTATTTTTTTTCAATTATTATTTTATTTTTTTTTGCTTCTTTATAAATATAAATTAAATACTTTTGATAGTTTTCCTTTGTCAATTTATAGCAAATATTATAACGATTAAAAGGACTGGTTTTGTTTTTTCTAAATTGACGTTTGCTTTATTTATATTGAAATTAAGACAATAAAATATCGACTTATCGGATTTTCGCTCTACTGATTATTAAATAGTTACGAAAATAATCAGACAAGTCATTATTCTGTTATTATTAATAATATATTAATAATAATAATAAAAATATTTATTTGAAACAGATAAAAGATACATATTAAATAATACAAAGCACAAATAAACAAGCAAATCACGAAGCAAATCAAGCCTACTTGTGAGTGGTCAACATAAATAAATATGGTAAAATAAGTAGTATAAAAATAATCTTATTAAGACAAAAATAATGTAGACATATTTTTTTTACATTTTTATTGTTTAATAATAAATATCATGTACAACATCCCGTGGCATATTAAGAACATAATATTTTATTTTTTGTTTAAATACAGATAACCTGATTTCTACCTTAATATAGGGAGGTAGAAAGTTATAAATTTTTGGACCTAAATATGAATAATGTCTTTGTCCGATTGCCTTTTGCATGTAATCTATGCGTCTTTATTTCGAGTAGCATATTTATGAAATAGAGTTGGCAATTCTGTTTTATATTTATATGTAACTAAGATGAGATTCAACTAAATTTTTATATATAATTATTTTTTGTTTAAAATCTTATATGCCGCATAATTGTTTAAATTTAAATAGTATAATATAGCGTAGTTTTTTATGAAGGTATTCTATATGTTGATCCCATCTTAAATTTTTGTCTATCATTATACCAAGATATTTAATTTTACTTGCAGGTGAAAATACATTTTGATTAACAATTTCGAGGTTGTAACTAGGTAGGGCGTTGCTGTAGGAACTAAATGGTAAATAGGTCGTTTTTTTTATATTAAACGGTAGAAGTCTGAAAGGAAACCATATTTTAATTTTTTTCAAATCGTCTTCTATTTTTAACTTTAGGTTAAAACAGTTGTTATCGTCGCAAAACAATACCGTATATCATCCACAAAACTCATAATATCACAGTTCGTGTCGAGAAGGAAAAGGTTATTTAGATAAATATTAAAAAGTATAGGTCCCAACACCGTCTCTTGAGGCACCCCACAAGTAATGATTTTGGCGCACTTAAACTATTACCTATTTTTACTTTTTGACTTCGATCAGTTAGATAACTTGTAAAAAGTTTATGTGCCCATGTCTTTTAGAATATTTAGTAAAATAGAATGATCTATAGTGTCAAATGCCTTTGCCAAATCAATAAAGACGCCAATTGATGGCAAGGACTTATCAAGACTATTATAGATTTTTTTAGTAAGTACCTTTATAGCATCTGCGTAGACCTATTTTGTCTAAAACCGTATTGCGAGTCAGACAACAACTGGTTTTTTTCCAAAATATTGTATAACCTCTTCTGTATGATTTTTTCGAATACTTTGGCCAGGCAGGAAATTATTGAAATCGGTCCGTAATAAGCAGTAAGTGTTCTTTCTCTTTGTTTAAAAATTGGGGTTACTTTGGCAAATTTAAAGGCTGATGTAAAATGACCTTCCTCTAGTGATAAATTAATTAAATATGTTGGTTTTGTAATATGATCACAAATTCCCTTCAATACTTCCGCTTTTATACCGTCCCAGCTTGGAGAGTTATTATTTTTTAATTGCATTATGATCTGCTTAACTTTATTTTTATCTATGGGATATATAAATATTGAATGCGTGCATGTTTTCTTCGTCTCAATGAAGTTTGGATTTCTATTAATTTGTCTGCCAACTTCTTACCTACTGTTATAAAATATTCATCAAACAATTCTGCTATTTTAATAGGATTTAGCAATTAATTCATGTTTATCATTGCTTATTATATTTATTGGTGTACGTTCAGGTTCTGTTAAGAATTTATTTATAGTGTTCCATAATGTTTTTGAATTTCTGTCGTTTCCGATTTGATTACGGTAACATTTAATTTTTGATATTTTCATTAATTTATTTAATGTTTTTTTGTGTTGTTGGTAATTTTGTTTCAGGATTTCATTGGATGGATTTTTTTTGAGTTGATTTTTTTATATGTTGTAAATATTTCAACACAATTTTTCAGTGTACGAATAAATTTGTTTGTTTCAGATTTTACGTCATTACAGTCGAATAAAGAATTCCAGTCGATGTTCTGTATTTCATTTTTAAGTTATTTTTTGTTGATTAGTTTTATTAAATTAGTGGAAGTGTTATTTTGTTTGAAACTATGTTTTGGAAGTATAATTTGTGCTACACTTGTAAAATGGTAATATGTTTTCATAATTTTGTTTACTAGATTTAATAAATAGTATTAAATAATTAAGTATTATTAATTGTTTAATAAAAAGCCATGAAAAAACTTAATCGCGAGTAAATATAACTTTTTAATTACCCAGATTAAAAATATGAAATTTAAAGGATTTTTCGAGTTATCGATTTTTGAACTCCATAGACACAAAGTTGGTTTATAGGATTCTTGCCTGAGTAAAAATTTATCTTTACGCATATATAGGTTTTTCGGAATACCAGTTACCAATACTTAGTAACGGAATTATATTAACAAAAACAGTACTAAAAATTGTGTTTGATGTAAATATAAAAACTATTTTTCCATTTTTACAGACTTATCTGGTTTTGGCTCTGAAACCCCCGAAATAGGATATCAAATAACCAGTAGGTATAAAATGTACCTACTAACTTTAATATATTATTTTCTCACTCCTTTGATTAAACCAGAAACACTGACCACATATTCAGCATAAAAACATAGACACATACGTTCCTATCAATTACCGTCTAGTCAGGTATCCATTATCGTGATTAATGGTTTTATAATAATAATACCCTTCCATTATTTTTGTGGAGTGATTTGTCTTGTATATTAACCTATTGGATATTATTCATTCGCTACACTGATTTGAATGAGAGTAAAATTAATAATTAAATTAAAATAATTTCGTACTCACTTTGACCTAGATGAACTCGCTTCATCCATGGATAAATTTGTGGTGGATTTGAAGACGATCCGCTTTTACTATTGTTGTTCGATCCTGATTTTTCGTTACTCGAAGTAGAACTAGTACTTGACGCAGGAGATGATAGATTTTGAGAGGCGGTCGACGAGCCTGTTGCTGGCTTTCCACTAGGAGATGTACTTACTGATAAAGGTGATGTCAAACCCGAACTTTTTGATGTAATGGTTGCATTTGAATTGTTGCTCGTTTGAGTGATAGTTAGAGGTGGAGTGGCTCTTGTCGGTGGGCCACTCGTACTAAGATCCTGCGGAGAAGCAACACCGGTTGAAGAAGTCGAGTCAGCGTACTTACAACTTGCTGCCGAAGGATTTAACATTCCAGGACTTTGTCCGCCAGGACTGGCATGGTGCATGTGTGTGTTGTTACCTCCTGGAATTCTTTGAGGTTGTAGTTGTGTATAGTCTCCCATGGTTGGCTGGAGATTATGACCCGGTGCCGGTGCTGCATAAGGATGAGGAGGATATTGCGGTCCAACTTGCGGTGGTGAATAACAAGCTGGAGGATAACTCGTAGCCGCCGCTGCATTCGGATTGTAATAATCACCTCCTGGAGTAGTGCTTTGATGAGCTTGTTCACCAGACCTGGCTTGTTGTCCATAGCACTGCGCTAACGAATTCACGAATTGATAAGAACTCATTTTAACTAGTTTCTGTTAATTTTTCAGTTTATAGTTCTGATAACTAATTACATAGCGCCAATTATACACAAAAAAACAGTCAAGTCATAAATTCATTGGGACACTAATAGACCAATAAACACAACACTAAACGCTGGCACGTGACTAAGGTTATAAAACTGTCCAACAAGTTTTACGATCTCGAATTAGGTAGCATTAAGAAACAACATCGCGTTGTGAGAACGGGTTTAAGTTTCCGTGGACTGTCTCACGTGGGGACTTATGTGATAGTGACAGACGTTCGCGTCGAGACGATGAGTTAGCGGCGCCACGACTGGGCAATACCACACGTTCATTGGGTTTAGTATACCAGGATGCGATACTCACAACAGTCGTGCTCGCGGGGCGTAAGAACCTCGATCGCGACAAGGACGACTATTCCCGCTTGCGTCGGCCAGAGAGAGAGGCCGGCACTAGAGGGGATAAGTCAGTGTCAGCATACACGCCGCAGACTAACGGCATGTTAGAAGTTTGCCGGCGCAGGCCTGGGGAGGAGTTTCGGAGGGGAAAGGGGCGGGACTCACAAATTCAAATTGATAATTTGTGAATTGTTTAAGATTTGACGCTCAGCTGAGCGGTGTGTGTCTACTGGATTCCGGTAGCTGGACTGATGAATCGCCTCCAGCATAATTTCACTAAGATATTAGAGATGTTTCTGATGAAGTTCATTTAAAATTTACGTGAGTTTCTTGTGTTGAGAATAAACTTTCGGGTAATTTTCCACCTGTTTCCCGGTTCATGAGGAACGCGTTTAAAGTTTTTCAACTTTTAAATGTTTTGTGCGCTTAAATAATTTTGTAGATTCGTAAATCAGAAACCAAAGTTAATGTGATTTAGGATGATAATTTAGCTTACCTATAAAATTGATAAATATTTTTCTATTTCATGAAGAAATTACATTTTACACAAGTAGGGTAAATCTAGATAGTAGATAGGTATTAGTTACCAATTAATTTTACAAGATATAAACTTCTTATAAATATCTACATATTTAAATAAAAAATATTTGTTGTATTAAATTTGCCTAATTAGGTATTTAAAGGTATAAATAAATATAAATTTTATCAACAAAAATAAAAAAAAACTAAAAAAAAACTAAAAAAAAAAACTAAAAAAAAAACTAAAAAAAAACATGATGAAGCTATAGGATACCTACTACAGGATGCAAAATTAGGAATTGGGTTAGGAAAAAAATTATATTTAACAAGACGTTTGAGTATAATCGACCTTTCGGTGCAAGCTCTAGCATCCATATGAGAAGATTAAATTATTGATAATTTTAAATGTGATTAATTAGCTTTTGACAGTGTACCTATACCTAAAATGACGAATCTGGATCATAATAGAAAAATGGAGAGTTAGTTGATAATAAATTTTTATACAGCAATTAAAAGTTTTTAAAGATAAATTAAAAATTGACATTTAATTTTTAGCAGGTACTATTAATTAGAATCTAAATTTAAATCCCCCAATTAATTTTTAAACTTCAAAAAAGGAAAAGGTTCTTAAGTAATTCGTTGGAATGTTTTTTTTATTCGTGTTCAGAGATAATTCTTTTTCACGTTGTCTGATTCCTATGATTACTGTGATTTTCTTTTATTTTTAGATTTGTTTTTAGATTTTTGTTTTTTATATTTTTTAATTTTTTTTTTAATGTTTCCATATAGATTTAGATCTGATGGTGCAATCTATGAGAAAAGCACTATTCATTTTTGGAGACGTTTTCATTTTTTAAATTAGGTATTTTGTAAAGCAAAATCATAAATAGATAGGTACCTACTTAGATTTAATTGATAAAAATTTAAATTCAGAAGTATTAGTCATGATGCAGTATTATTAATCGCAATTAATAAATTAATATATAGGTATCTACAAAATTTCATCCGTCAATTAAAAATCTATTAGTGCGCTTTGGAAGACGTTATTGTTATTATGATATCTTGTGAAAAGAGCCTGAAGAATAACCTAAATTTATACAAATTTAGGTAGTGGCTGCTCGTGATAATTTAAAATGGGTGTATACTTTTACCTATAATTTTATCATTTGTAAGTTCGGCTCAAAACTTTGTACACGTGAAGTTATTATTATCAATATCATACTGGTTTCAAGCACTACAACTATTAACTAATGAATAAATGAATATTGTAATATCTGTTTTGTTTTTAATACGTTGAAAACCTTCTATGAAGATTATTAGTTAGTCAACTGACTTTTCTTCATATTTTGAGATTATTTTTAAATATATATCAGGTTATGAAGAAAGCTTGGCATACATTTTTGTGTAAAAAATATTATTTTATGAAACTTCACCTACCATTTTTCAGTTTTTATTGTAAATTTAATTACTTTCACAATTTGTTTATTTTATAAGATCAGTCCCATCACAATACATAATATTACACAGATATAACCTAGAATAAAGATATATAATGCGTGACATTCTAAATTATACTCTTCACAGTTTAACAGACCCCTTAACCCCCATTTTCAATCAGATTTTTTTCAGAATCAATAGACTTTATCCCCTTATAGAGCTTTATTTTTCCAAAAATTTCAAGTTGTTATAATTGTTTGTTTTTAAGTTAGATTTATTTTAAATATTTTAACCGTCTTAACCCCCTCCCACTTTTATTTTTTTTTCACAGTTAATAGGCCTCGTCTCCTTATAGAGCTTGATTTCTACTAAAAATTTCAGGTTTATATCGCTTTTCATTTTTGATTGTCTTTTTTTTAATTTCAGCCCCCCTTAAAGCCCCCATTTTTAATAAGACTTTTTTCTTTCAAAATCGAAGGGCTTCTTCTCCTCTAGAGCCTGATGTTTCCTAAAAATGTCATGTTGATATCGCTGTTCGTTTCTAATTTAAGTTTTTTTTTGTAATTTCAACCCATGCTAACCCCCTATTTTTAATCAGATTTTTTCTAAATCAATAGGCTTTGTCTCCTTATAGAACTTATTTTTTGGCTTAAAATTTTCAAGTTGATACAATTTTTCGTTTTTGACTTATCGTGCAGACAAGAAACGTGACATCGAAAAAAGTAAACCTATAATAATCTTCACTGAAGAGTAGAATAATAATATAATTGGCTCAAACAATAACATAATAGAATAGCCTAAAAAACAGATAAACTAAAAGAATGATAAAGTCAAAATTTTGAAAATTATTTAATAGGTATATCAGTACCTCGAAGATAAACTGCGCTATGTCATTATAGTCAACTTTGTAGTAGAGCAGACTGAATGTTTGTTGGACACTTTTCGTGTTCCATATTTACATATAATAATTATATTTCGACAAGAAATGCAGTTAGCCCCAATTATTGTCACAATATGTATTGTTTACTAATAATTTAACTATTAAAACTTTTTTTTAATACACATAAATTGTTCGGGAAAGCATCTTACTCCCGCTGGCTCACTTAGAAAAGTGAGCCAAAGAGGCGCGATTAGCCAGAGCGCAGTGGCGTACCAAAATATAGAAATTAACACGTATGAAAACAATAAAATTATTAAAATTGAATTTATATTTTTTTGTTATTTATTTTAAAATATTGTGTTTTTATGAAATGTAACTGGATATTCACTGCACAAATGAACCAATGGAGAAACCGCGAAACCTCCCCTGATGGTAGGTATGATAGAGACATATGGAAAGCAATAAATGTGAATAAAACAATACCAATGGCTGAATTATAAGAATCAAAAACATTATATTTAAAATATTTAAAAATATCTAAGAACTAGATAAATAGGTACGTAAATAAATAAATAAATATAACTTTATTTACAAAAAATATACAATACAAATTATACAAAAGATGCAAATAGAATAAAGTACTTGTTTCACATTAAAAAATAGAATATTAGGTATGTGTATATAAAAAATAAATAATAATATTAATAATAAGCAAGATACTAAATTAAAACTGAAATTATGAACAAAAATGATTGTACATGACTGAAAATAAAAAGTAAATTAAAAAATATCTATTAAGTAAATATAATATAATACAGGTGTTTTTTTGTTTTTGTAAAATCCTAAAAATTAATAATTATTTTATTACAGTTAATTCTTTTGCAAATAGGACTGCAGGATAAATTGATCTTATACTACTTGGTTTTATAGATTCCTTTAAATCTTTTGTTTGTTGCTTGTGTTTAGAAAACTAGTTTATCCTAAAGTAAATTATGCTTTATCGTTGTCCTCTAAGGGTTAGTTAATAAGTAATTATAAAACTATTTTAGGTGTGTTTGGTGTTAAATAGGCATACTTTTTAGCAGTATTCTTAAATAGGTTTTAAAAATTAGTTTTAAAAAATGTTTTAGAATTATACATTAAATTAAATTGATCCCAAAACATTTTTGGCACATTTTCTACAATTTTTCAACATAAATATAATTTATTTAATCTAACATAAACATTATAATTTATTTAATCTAGTAAACAAAAGAGCTCTTTTAAAACTACATAGTTTTAATAAGGACTAAAGTTTGTTCTAGAGCATAACCTATCTTTTCAAACCAATCACAATATGTTGACGTTGAAAGATAAATTGCTCAAAATGAAGAAAATTGGGTAATTTTCATAGAGAATGAAAAAAAAAATGTTTCTTCTTCTTCTCAGTGTTAAACAAATTCATTGTATGCCGTTGTTTAACAAATACCAAAGAAACATTCCGAGGCTCCTATTATTCTGGAAATGACCAGTAAAAGAGAAAAATGGTTAATATATTATTACTAATTTTTATATGTTTAATGACTTGTTCATAGTGTAAATAAGAAGCTGAAGAGTGAAGTTAGGTTATGTCCGCCTAAGGATTGAATGGAATGTTTTATTAACGTTTTTGTTTTTATAAAACGCTTTAAAAAGTGTAGCAGGATCTTTTTAAAACTGGAAAGTCCTAAAACGTATTTTTTTTTGCTTTATTAGTTTTATAAGCTAATGTCGAGTTTTAGGTACTGATAGAACACAATGAGGAAATCGTCCATTTTAATTATGGCAGACCTGTACCAAACGGATATTTAAATAATTTACTTTTGAATATTAAAATAAATCATGGTCAAAGTTAAAATAATTCTAAAATTTTTCGATTTTAGTAATGACGTAATTTGTGTACCAAAAACAATGATAGAGTGCCAATGACAGTTACAATAGATTTATTATTTAAGAGTGCTTTTACTGTGTTTAACGCCATAATGTCAAATTTGTCAAATATATTTACAGCTAATATCTTTTGAGGCATATAAATGTAATTAATATTGGAACATGCTATACTATAATGTTATACAACTCTTACCTAGTGCTATA